ATCTACTTTAAAACAATTATGTCAACTGTTTCCACTCAAATGAATTGAGTAAAGATAATGTGTAAAGTAAATGTGTTACCTTTACTCAGTTCAGTTAAGTAGAAACAGTTGATATTTTTTTAAAAAGTAAACCTACTAAATACTTACTACTATATAATACTAAATAAACGAATAATATTTGGTTTTGTTTTCTACTGAAATGACAAAGAAAAAAGTAAACCTACTACATCTGTTTTTGAGTGCTGGCTGGGGTCTGGGTTCTCTCCTGGGAACACCTGGGAGAAGCTGACAGGTGACACTTTCAGCCTTTGCAACCATAAGCATCAGCAGGTGGATGTGTGGACAGAGCCCAAGGTGGAAACTTCAACAAGATGAACCATCCTGGTTATCCTGTGGGAGATCACATACATCTCAAATAATCAGAATGTCGTGAAAAAGTTTTATTTATTTTGTCAGTCAGTTCAGAAAGTGAAGCTCATAAATCCATTACACAGAGTCAAATATTTCAAGCCTTTTTTAAATGTAATTTTGTAAACATTTATGGCTTACAGATGATGAAAAAAATCAGTGTCTCAGAAAAGTTGAATATTACATATCTCTTGGTACTTTTTACAGTGTGGGCAGGAGCAAAGTCTCAATTATCTCTAGACCTGTTGGTCTACAAATGTCCTGCTCCTCAAGTCAAGTCACTCATGAACCAGGCACAGATGTCTAAGTACATTCACTACTTTACAGTTTTTATATATTTTTTTCTTTGAGGATTTGTAATTTTGGACTTGTGACCTGTCCAGGGTGTACCCCGCCCCTCGCACTGTGGCTGCTGGGTATGGGCACCAGTGACCCTGAAAGAAATAAGGGGGTATAGATGATGGATGGATGGATGGATGGATGGATGGATGGATGGATGGATTTGTAATTTTACCAAGTATTTTTTAACACCTATACTCTACAAATTTAAATATGACCAGAACTCATCATAAACGGGGCAGTTTATGCACTCCAACAAATGAAGTGTTGAATTTATTTAGCCAAGTTATGTTAACTGGTTCCACCAAACCAAGTTGAGTAAATGTAATTTCAACATGAAGAGAGAGAAAAGTGGAGTATAGAGCATGTATTTGACATAAGTACATTTAAAGTTTTGGCGCTCAGACCCTGGCAGAAGATGTGTTTGCTGAGAATTGCAATAATCTTGAATGAGCAGCTTCAGATGAGGAATAAAGATACCATCCTGAGCAGCATATGGTGACAGCGGAGCGGAAAACTCCTTTTATCGTGCAGAAACCTCCGGCAGGACCAGGCTGGGTTTGGGGACAGAAGAGGGAAATGGAGAAAGGCAGAAGAGCTGGTCCAGGTGTGAGCTGAGAGAATGAGTGTGGAGAAGGGGAGGAGGGGTTGAAGCTCTGCTGGAGAACAGGAGGAACCGTGGATGCAGGGCCTAATATATGGAGACTTGTCTGATGCTGATGTGGCAAGAGCACATGATGCAGCAACCAGATGGTGCAGGTGAGGCTGGAGTCTTCCAGATTGAATTTACAACTAGGATTCATAAAATAAAACAATAAGTAGGTCGTCTGGATGGGCTCTTCTTTAATGAAATGTTTCGTCTCTCCTTTAAAAGACTATCTTCATAGAACTGGTCGAGAGGACCTACTGGAACTTATTTTTTTTTTCTTTTTCTACCTGGATTACTGAGATGCATTAGGACATAAATGTAACACATTTTACTTCACATAGACATTTAAAAAGTAAAAATTGCTTCACATTTATTAAATTCAGTTTAGGGGAACCTGTTGACATAATTTGTTTAAGTAAATCCAACACATCTGTTTTTTAGTAAATTCAACACTCAGAATGTGTGTAAAATACTATACTTACTTACTTTTACTTTCCAAATTATTGTGAACAGTTTTATGACTTTTATTTAAGTATGTTCCTTATTATCAGTGAAATAAATTTCGAAAAATGTTCAATTTCAACTAATGTCTGATTCCTAATGTCAGATTCTGATAGTCTCTAAAACAAAACATATCTTTTTTTATTCTTGCACAATTCTTTATATTATATTTTTATTATTAGTAGTCATATCATTGCTAGTGTTAATTTCGTTTTTTGTGTACTGTCTATAGTTTGTAAAGTAGTGTGTGCGAATGCTGTGACACCTGAATTTCCCCTCAGCAGGACAATAAAGGCTATTTCTATTCTTTTCTATTCTGTTTCTGCATGTCGCTGCAACCAATCAGCAAGGGTTTCATTGACTGACCAAAGAGAGGAGAGTACATACTGCTGTCAACAACCACTTTCACCATGATTTTAGATGTGTCTGTGACTTACCTATTTTATATGACACTTCACAAAGTGATGACTGAGATGCACATGAAAAGGCGACCATAAACAGGTCACATCACTTTTCATTGCTTTGTTGATGATATCCAGGCTTATGTGCCCATTATCTTAGAAAGGGTCACTCTACTGGAACCATTCTTCAGTTGTCTAAATGACATAAGAACATGGTTGAAACTAAACTTTCTGGACTTAAATGAAAGTAAGACTGAAATAATCAGTTTTGGTAAAATTAACTCTCATGACATTCTTGGCCCTTTAGCTTTATACTACCACTGTACTGTCAGGAATCTGTATTTTTTTTTCATTGTGTCTTTAAATTTGATAAACAGATCAATTTAGTTGTAAAATCAAGCTTTTTCCAGTTTAGACTGATTGCCAGAGTGAAATCTTATCTCCCCAAAAAAGACCTTGAAAAGGTGATTGATGTTTTTATTACCACTCGTTTGGACTATGGTAATACTTTGTAAACTGGTTTGAATAAATCATCTGTGCATCGCGTACAGATTGTTCAGAACGCAGCAGCTTGGGTCATGGTCTGTCATTTTTATGCCTTGGTTTTCCTAGTGTTTCAGTGTTTCCCCATGTTCTCTGCTCAGCTGCTCTGCCCACGTTCACCTGTTTCCCCTCGTGTTTCCTCCAGGTGTTTCTTGTTTGTCCTTATTAGCTTGCCTTTATATTCTGTGTCCTGTGTTCAGTCTGCGTCGGATCATTGTGCTGTAAAGCTTGTCTGGTTTTTCATGTTCCCTGGAGTTTTTGTCATGTCTCTTCCAAGAGAGTTTTTCAGCTGCCTCGTCAGTGTCTTTTGATTTAATAAAGACTTTGTTTATTTCTGCACCCGAACTCTGCCTGTGCCCTGGTCATTCTGAGTCTAAACCTGACAGCTTGTCTTTTATCAGGTACCACAAAACACATAACCCCGGTCCTGGATTCCCTCCAATGGCTTCCTGTTCACCTGCTGGTTGATTTTAGTATTTTACTGTTGGCTTTTAATGTTTTTAATGGTCTGGCCCCATCATATTTATGTGATCTTCTTATAACAGCTACACTCCAGTCAGAGCACTTGGGTCTACCAACCAGTTTCTTTTAGATGTTCCTAGATCCAAAATAAAATCTTGTGTAATAGGTGCTCTAAAGCTGTCTACCTCTTTATATTCAGTCTGCTGAGACTGTTGAGGCTTTGAAATCTTTGCAGAAGACTCATCTCTTTTCTTTGGCTTTTGATAAAGACCAAGTTTGAGGTTCAGTTAGAGCTGATGTTTTCTTACAGTGTGTTTCTGTATTTTATTTGTATTGTAGGGGTCACCTCGAGTGAAGAAACAAGATTTACTGCCTCGAAGCAGGCCTTGGACAGGCCTGACGAGAGGACAGGAACTCTGTCACAAACTGAACTCTATTCAGGCCATGACAGGTCATTCCAACCGTGGAAGAGAACTCCTCAGTTCTCTTAATCAGATAATGGACAGAACAATCTCTTCTGTTTGTGATTCATTTGTTGTTTAACTAAGAATGTTTATGCATTTATTAAATCATGATAATGACTGTCACAAGAAAAGTGGAACGACTTCTTTTCTTTTATCGTGCCTTAAAGATTAATAATGGTATAAAAAAGCACAGAGAATTTGATTACAATGTGTTCGGTTTTTTTTAACCTAGAACTCAGAAAAAAAAACACAGCAACCCCCCGAACATTAAATCAATGACAACAGAGACA